TTTTTTTTTTTTTTTTTTTTTTTAAATTATTAGTATTATATAAAGAAAGAAAGGAAATACTCTTATGATATGCATGGCATACTCTCGTGTTTTGAAATTGGACCTTTTCATGTCTAAATAATGCCTGTCCTTCAATAGGAGACAAATTTTTGTTATATGTTTTGATTTCCATTATTGCTTTTTAGGCTACTATTGGCATTGACTTCCTTTCGAAGACCATGTACCTTGAAGATCGAACAGTAAGATTGCAGCTTTGGTAAGATATGTTTCTTGATAAAATAATATCATCTATATTTAAACATTCATGTAACGGCGTTGTGCTTGGTCAGAACTTCAGATTAACTTTAGATTGTTCCCTTGTAATCTGATAATAAGAATTGAGTGTTAAAATTATAATATATTGCAAAACATTCTCCTGCTGGGTTTCATGGTCATTGGTCCATTGATAGCTGTAACAGTTTGGTTGATTTAAGGTCGAAGAGATTGAAGATGCTATTAAAGAGCTGCTGATTTATTTGTGCATACTCTTTTGTTTTCTGATCTGTTCGATATGATATCCTGATTATATTTTTGAAAAGGCATGGGATTTTGCATTTTGACATTTTTCATCCCGTGTTGCAACTGGGTCTCTCTCAAGGCTGTATCGGGTGGCATGGAAATTGGTCTATGAAATTTAAATTTGTGGAAAACTCAGTTCAGACTGAACTCCAATCCCAAGACCACTTCATGTAAATGTAGAGATAGCAAACATTCCAGTTGTAAGTGTCTGGCAAAGTAACAACATCAAGCTCTGTGTGGAAAACTTTTTCTTATTCTATTGTAGGGCTCTATTGGTAAAGAGGTGTTAGAAAGACAGTTCGGTTGACTTCATGTTCTCTTTTCTGCAAGACCTCTAAGTATAGTTGTCGCATTTTGGCATGGATGCACACACTGTTGCAAGTCCCCAGTTTTGGATTTATTTACTTTGGATTCCTTGTAGAGTTGTATACTTTGGCAACTTTATTGTTATTCTTATGTGCACAGGGATACTGCTGGACAAGAAAGATTTAGGAGTCTAATTCCGAGCTATATAAGGGACTCTTCTGTCGCAGTCATTGTATATGATGTTGCAAGTATGAATCTCCCTGCACAATGTAATTTTATATGTTCACACTACACACAGAAACTGAAAAACAATATGATACTTTAAAATCTAACAAAAATATAGTTGCTGAAGTTTATTTT